AATGGCTAGAGAATAGAATAATGGCAAGGCTCTCCCATTGATCTCCCACTTTCACTCTCAAGGTTGATAATGCTGATCTCAAATGGGGTCACAAGTCTTAAGGAGGAAGTGGGAGAATTGTCAATTTATAAGGGTCGGTTACCTTTTTTTTTTTTTTTTTTGATTTTCAAACCTAGTTGAATTAGGTTCCTTAGCCTAATTTAATTTAATTCTACATAAGTAAGGGTCCAATACACGAATTTAATTCCAAGCCCTCACTTCTTTATTTAAATTCAAAAATTACCCCAAGAACTAGTACATGTACTTTATATTATAGGTACCATCAATCAAATTGAGATCTATATATATATATATATATATATATATATACATTGGGAGATATGTCCCTACTACCTAAATTGAATAAAAAAATAGCCCCATCACCCTTCCCAATGGCCGGGCACCCTAAGACTTCCAAGCTCACTTTTATATTTATTTTTAAAAATTTTATTATTAACGTAAGAAATATTGACTTATTTTTTAAATGATAATTAAAATTTGAGAATAATATAAGATTATGAAAAGATAAAATGATAATTTTTAGTATATATTTATGAGGTAACATTTGGTAATTTTTATAAGTCAATTTTAGCCGCAAGTGTTCTGGGACTCATTAACGGAGCGACTTCTAGATTGCGTCTGAATCCGTTCGAAGCCAAGTACTTCGGATCTCTAGATTCGTGGATCCGAATCCTTTCGAGTCCGAGTGCCTCGGATCTCTAGGCTTGCTTAATACCCTTTCGAGTCCGGGCCCGAGTAAGTCTCTAGGTTCGTGGTTCCGAACCCTTTCGAGGCTTAGAGCCATTCAGCCCGTTTGACGGCGATAAATCCAAGCCCACCAATCTTGGACTTGCGATAAATTTGGGCCCACTAATCTTGGGCTATTGGGCCTAAATAATTTAGTGGGCTTAAATTAGCTCCTCTTACAAAGAACAACATCCGAAGACATTGAGATGGAAATCAATCATCCAAATCAAATCACCATTATTATTGGTAGATGATGATGCTGTTAAACAAGATGAAGATATATGCGTTTTGTGTTTGTTTGCAAATATATATTTGCTGTGTAGCCTGTAGGCTCCTCTGTTCTCTTGTTGAAGGAATGATTAGTTCTTTTAAAAAAAAAAATGCTAATAAACAAATACATGTTGTTAAAAAAAAGAAGCATACCTGATTAAAATAAAAAAAAGGGGACTACTGAAAATTTGAAAATTGCTGAAAAAAAAAAAAAAAAATTCTGCTGGAAAAACAAAGTTGTAGGAGGAAAAATATCTATTGTCTACATGCATGGATAGGTATTATATAAGCAAATATTTTTGCTTAAGAAGGGAGGTAGTGGTCTCCTAAAATAGTTCAAAGAAGCAAGAGTTTAGGTAGGATTTGAAATACTAAGTAAGAGTTTGTCTAGAATTAGAAATCCTACCAATGCCAATCCATCCTATTCCATTTAGACAAACTCTTAAAATATATATAGATATATATATATATATTGCTGTAAAAAAATCTTAAAAATAATAAGTGGCAAGTTGGAGGCCCACAAAAGAAAAGGGCCCATTAAAAAAAATGGGGGCCTAAAAAAGGAAAAGTCCATGATGGTCTAGAAAAATCCATGATGGCCTAGAAAAAAAAAATTTGCTGTAAAGAAAAAAAAAGCTACTGTAAAAAAAATGGTGGCAAGTTGGAGGTCCACAAAAGAAAATGCCCAATTTAAAAAAAATGGTGGCCTAGAAAAGAAAAGGTCCATGATGGTTTAGAAAAATCCATGATGACCTAGAAAACAATCTACTGCAAAAAAAATGGTGGCAAGTTGGAGGTCCACAAAAGGAAATGCCCAATTAAATCTTTGACCTTACTCATGACCCTTCAAAAAAAATAAAAAAAATGGTGGCAAATTGGAGGCCTACAAAAGGAAATGTCCAATTAAATCTTAGACCTTACTCATGACTCTTTAAAAAAATATATAAAATAAAAAATAAATAAAAAAATAAAAAAAGATCAAGTCCACAAAAAGAACTCATGCAACAAAAGTAAAAGGGCCCATGGAAAAAGAGCCGTCAACCAAAAAAAAAAAAAAAAAAAAAAAAAGGCCAAAGCCTGCTGCCACAAAAAATGAGTACTAACTTCTACATGCCTACTCACCCCCTATGTAACTTCTTTTTTTTTTTAATTATATATTTTCTGGTCAGTCCTTACTAGATGAAGTTTAACCAATGCGAAGCAATGCAGCTTTATGGAAATGTCTATATACATATATGTGTGTTAGCACATAAATTTCAACTAAATTTATGGCACATATAGAGCTTATGATAGGAATGTTGTAGGCAATTACTTCCTCAAAATGATCAACTTGCTCCGTTGAAGTGTATAAATAAAACAACTTCGTATCTTAATGACGATATTCAAGATGCTCAAATGACACGTGGAGCTTACGAAAGATGACACCTGTAGAGCCTACAGCAAGGACACCACACAAGATGAAACCCCAAAGATCAATCCGGTTAATCAGATATATGATTAATCAGATAGCGCTATTATTCAAAATTCAAATAGGCGCTATCATTCAATTTGAAATTCAAATTGAAGATGAAGCATTCCTATCACCTGATGGCCCTCCATAAATGTGAGGACCATCACACAAGACGGGGGATCAGAAAATCAGAAGTGAAAAGATCAGAGAGAGAGAGAGAGAGAGAGAGAGAGAGAGAAATTGAGAGCTAAACAAATCGTTACAAGAAAGAAGAGGAGAAGCCTAGAGAACTCAAGAGCCTACGCTAATGGCGATGAATAGGTAAAGGGTTCCAAACCCAAACTGTATTTTGTATTCGAGGGTTCAAAACCCATAACAATCTCAATAAAATATTTATTTTTTTCTTAAATTGTCTTTTGTTGTTTATTTTGTTCTTCATTAATCGGATGTTTCATTTGTATAAAATGTGTAATTAACGATCTGAAATACAGATCGGAAATAAGAACCTGCTATTCAAATAATCAACACTGTTTAGTCCAAAAAACTAAATAGTGGACATTTGTAACATAAATTTTAAAATGTGTTAAAACACTTCATGTTTTAAAATTTGTGTCTACAGATAGGAGGATATCTAGAGAGTTGAGTTCCAAATGTGGTTTTCCCCTAACTTCTGAGTTAGGAAAATTTCTTGGAGTTCCTCTTATCCATGGGAGGGTGATTGGATGACATTTCAACAGCATTTTGGAAATAATGCAAAACAAACTTGCTAGTTAGAAGGCTAGGGTGCTATCCATGGATGGTAGAACTATACTTCTTCAAGCCGTAAGTTCTGCCATACTTGCCTACACCATGCAAACAATTTAATTTCCAAAAAAAGTTTGTGAGGATATTAATAGACTGAACAGAAACTTTCTTTGGGGTAACACCTAGGAAAGAAGGAAGGTGTATCTTGTGAATTGGGATTTGGTTTGCAATCTGAAAAAGAATGGTGGTTTGGGTATAAAGAAAGCTAGGAATCAAACCTAGCTGCCCACTGAACTCGGTTGGAATCTCAGTGATAATAAGAAAGGTCCGTGGTGTGATATGCTCAGATGCAAGTATACGGGCCATAATTCTTTATATAATTGGCCTAAAGGAAATAAAGCATCCCATGTGTGGAGAAACATTCTTCATACAAGACTTATTCTCAGGAAATGGGTTAAATAGAAAGTTAGTGCTGGCACTAAAGTGAAGGATTGGTGGTGTGGAGACACATCATTTGAGAACATTATGTCTAACACACATCCATGTATGGATGCCATCATGCCAATATTGGCAATGTGAGTGATTTTTTGAATGAAAATGGGGATTGGGATGCTAGAAAAATTAGCAATATGGTGCCCCATAACATCACTTCAATTATTTTGAATAATAACCCCCCTCCCAACAGAGATTTGGACAGTCCTCAGTGGAAGGGGTCTCATATTGGTAACTTTTCTACATCCTCTGCCCATGAGATTGCCATAGGTAATCAGGACTGTGATGAGGACTGGAATTGGCTTTGGAAACTGAGACTTCCTTAGAAAATTAAAGGGTTCATGTGGGTTGTGCTTCATGGAAAACTATTAACAAATAAGATGAGAATGAAAAGAGGTTTGTCCATTGACCCTAGTTGTCCCAGATGTAGAGGGGTAGAGGACTTGAACCACCTTTTTAGAGATTGTTATAAAGCTAAAGAGGTGTGGTTAGCCTTATGTGGCAAACAATGGTACCTTGACATGCTTAGAAAACCTTGGCTGTAATGGATCATGTTCAACTCAAAAAATAAAAAAAACATTTTAATGAACATATGAATTGGTTTACTCACTACAAGAAATTGCACTTTTGGCGACTAAATTTTTAGTCATCAAAAGTCATATTTTTAGTCGCCAAAAAGTTTTCCCGACAAAATAGTTTGGTCGCCAACTTGGTCGCGGAAAGACGGTCAGCGAAGGTATTGGCGACTAAAAAAACTTTAGTCGCCGAAAGTCCTAAATTGGCGACTAAACAAGTAGTCGCCAAAAGTAAAGGTGTTGGCGACAAAAAAAACTTTAGTCGTTGATAGGCTAAATTGGCGACCAATCTTTTAGTCGCCAAAAGCTTTGAAAAAAATTTTATATTGCATTTTCAGCGACTAAAACATTTGGTCACCAAAACTAAATTTATTTTCCACGCCTAATTTATTTAGTAGCCAAAAATTTTTTTGTTCATCTTATTTTTTTTAGCTACTAAATGTTTTAGTCGCCTAAAGTCTATTTTTTTATTTTGCTACTAAAATTTTAGTAGCCAAAAGTATTTTTTTCAATTTATTCTTTTTTTAGCTACTAACTATTTAGTCGTTAAAAATATTTACTTCTTTTTTGGCTACCAATTATTTAGTAGCCAAAAACATGATATTATTTTTTTTTTTAATCTGTCCATAACCTGTATGTATTCCATGCAACCTATACCATGTATATAAACAAAACAATATATATTATCAATCATTTCGCAATTTACATCCATTTCACTTTCAACCATCCAAAAAGGAATAACTTTTAATGTCAAATTCCATACAAACTAAGTATATTCCAATCTAAAATAATAATTCCATACAAAATAGAGAATCATACGAAAACCATTATATTCATATAGACTCCAGGGATGATAGTGAACTTTTGAAAAGTCTGTCTAATATTGAACCTCATTTTCTAGAGCTTCAACTATATCCTTATCTTGAATGTCACTATGAAAAGCATGCTTCCCGTTGTTGTTATCATATGTCATATATGATTTCTCCTGCTCCTCTTTGTATAAACTTTCCAAAAACAAGTTTTTCTTGCGAGGTTCAGATATATGAGTGGAGAGATCAGCTGTCTTGCATGTTGGCAAAGGGAATGTTAGGTCCTAGTCATTAAAACTTAACTCTTACAGAATTCTAGGTTTTTAAAGCAGTTAACTATGCATGTATCTGAACCTAGTCATTTTTAAAGCAGTTAACTATGCATAAATGTCTCTCCAAGAAGGTATAAATATAAATACAGAAATAAGTTTATATTTATATACAATGAAGAGGAGGATGAAACGAAACAAGAAGACCCACCCTTAAAAAGACCAACAACATGCATGACTCCAAATATTTTGTAGATGAATCAGACATATCAGCAGCAAGTGATTTAAAAATTATCGTTTACTCGTGACCGTGAATGAAATTCTAAATACTGGTATCTAAAAAAAATTAATAAAGATGCCTCAATGATATTGACACAAGCAACATTGGCATCCAAAAGATTAACTCGACAATGCATCTCATAGTAGGATTTTGGTCACAACTTTACTGTGGTTGGCAACCACTAGAGGCACAACTTAAGTATCTCCATGATAAGAGAACAAATAATTTTGCATGTTGTCTACATATGCTTTTATAGATGGCATCAACAGGTTTGAGAAGTATGATTCACTACATATTCAATATGTATTTTCTTCATTGCAAAGATCAACATCAAAACCTAGAAGTAGCTTGGATCTTAACTCTAAAATCTGTAAATGCTGCCAAAACTCATAGAGAACTCAACCTATTAAATTAAAAATATATTCAACACTAACCTTGGATCTATAGGCCAATAACTTCTCAGCACTTCCAAACAAATGGCTGTGGTCCTTGTGAAGATTCATGGGTATAATGACAGAATTGTATCATGTTTCTATGATAATGACCTTCTATTATGTTACCATTCTTTTTGAGGACTTGATCTATTCCCCGAATTCTAGAATTTAAGTTACCATCCTATGTTAGTTTTTTCCACTCACAATTTCATCTTTTAGACTTCTCTCTCTCTCTCCCCTTCTAATTCTACATTCACCAGTTGGAACTGTACCAAGATTAATTTGGAGGAAGTACACTCTTTGTTTTTTTCCCCCTGCTTTTGAATGACTTGCTGTAATCTACTTTTTGTTTAGCTACTGTGACCATACCATAAGCCAGAAAATTAAGGCAAAGAATGCAAGAACATTAAGGCATTGAGCTTATTAGCATCATACTTGGAAAAGGGACGAGGATGAACACAAGAATAATACCTCACTGCCTATACCAAGATGCTGACCAAAAGGATCAATATCAAACAGTATCTGCTGATTGATATTTTCTGAAGATCGACACAGCCTAATTACAAGATGCACACAGGCAAAACAATCAGTCAAAGCCCTTCTTTAAATTTAGTGATTAAAGAGGGTAATCCAAAATTTGCATGAACAGAAAGAACAAGCCATTTAAAGCAACACACACTAGAAAATGTAGAACTATGTTTGCGTATCTCCCAGCAAAGTATGTAAGGGTCCTATAACAAATTTGAGAATAATTTTTTTGGTCAAATGCATTCATATTATCCAGACGTTAGCATATAAGAACCAGCTATAAAAATAATGATAAGGTTCATTAAAGGGTAAGCTGCAACTAGCTGGAGCATCATTTTAGGGTGGTGTGGATCCTGATAAGGATTGAATACTAACCATTTGATCCCGAATTTTAGAGTAAGGATATTTTGATATTTTTACACACATGTTGCCCTAATTTCTATGTACTTATAATTGAGGGGAGAAAAGACTAGCTCTAGATATTATAACTTTCTGGTCATATTACAAACCACAACTAGTTTTTGGAAAGAATCATGTAAATTTTTTGTGTTCATTTATATTTGATCTTTGTTTCTTATTCTTATTCATGTTTGTGTTTTGTGTTCACTGCTGCCTTTCTTCTCAATCGCATGCCTACTCCCATTCTTTTTGGTCGGTCTCCTTATGAGGCTTTGTTCTCCCAACTTCCTAACTACTCCCTCCTTCGTGTGTTTAGGTCTGCCTATTTTGTCCTTCTTCCCCGCAAAGATAGGACCAAACTTAGTGCCCGGTCTGTTCTTTGTGTCTTTTTGGGTTATAGTCCTACTCAGAAAGGTTATCGGTGTTACAACCCTGTTTCCCGTCGTCTTTATGTCTCCCGTTATGTTTCTTTTCTCGAATGTCTGCCTTACTTTCAGCTTCCTCCTGTCACTGCTTCGGTTTCCAAAGAGGATTTGGTTCACATTGACCCATTTCTTTCTGAGGTACCGTCTGATGAGTACATCTCCACAGTTCCTCCTGAGCTTGTTTCATCTCTCCTCTTGCTTCACCTTTGGCTGCTTCTCCTTCTTCAGTTTGTTCTCCTTCTTCGTTGTTAGTTTATTCTCGTCGCAAGGCTCCTCTTCCACCAGTTGTCTCTGTCCCTGCTACTGATCCCCTGTTTCTGACGACTCTAATCCTACTGCACACCGATATCCTCCTCGAGCACGTCATCCTTCAAATAGGTTGGGTTGGTCTAATACTTGTTTTTCTACTTTCTATCGTACCTTTTTGTCTGTTATTCACTCTTTTATAGAACTTCAGTCTTACAAGGAGGCCTGTCAAGATCCTTATTGAGTTCAAGCTATAGAGGATGAGTTGTTTGCTCTATAGAAAACTAGGACTTGGGAGTTAGTTTCTTTGCCTGTTGGTAGGAATTTGGTTGGTTGCAAATGGGTCTACAAAGTCAAGACTCATTTGGATGGTTCTCTTGAGCGCTATAAAGCTCGTCTGGTTGCCAAGGGTTTCTCCCAAGAGTACAGTATTGATTATGAGGAGACATTTGCTCATGTTGCCAAGATGACTATTGTTCGTACTTCGATCTCTGTCGCTGCTATTCGTTCTTGGCCTCTTTATCAGATGGATGTTAAGAATGTTTTTCTTAATGGCCATCTTACTGAGAAGGTTTACATGCATCCTCCCCCTGGTCTTCACCATTCCTCTGGCCAGGTTTGTCGTCTTCGGCGTGCTCTGTATGGTCTGAAATAGTCTCCTCGTGCTTGGTATAATTGCTTTTAGACTGCTGTTACCGAGCTTGGGTTTCATCCTTCTGCTTCCGACTCTGCTTTATTTCTACGACATACCTCGGCTGGTTTTGTTGCTCTCTTATTATATGTGGATGATATGATTATCACTGGCTCTGACTCTTCTACTATCTTTGAGGTCAAACAGCATCTCTTTCGTACCTTCAAAACAAAGGATCTGGGACCATTGCGGTATTTTCTTGGTATTGAGGTGGCTTCTTCTCTTAAGAGTTACTTTCTGTCCCAGGTTAAATATGCCAACGAGGTTATCCATCGTGCCGGACTTACTGACACTAAGCTTTCTGATACCCCCATGGAGCTTAATGTAAAGCTCAACACTACTGATGGTGTTCCTCTGGACAATCCTACGTTATATCGCGAGCTTGTGGGTTGCTTAGTCTATCTGACAGTTACTCACCCTGATCTTGCCTATATTGTTCATGTGGTTAGTCAGTTTGTTTCTGCTCCTCGCTCTACACATTGGGCCGCTTTGCTTCGGATTCTTCGCTATCTTCGCAGTACTATCTTTCAGGACTTGCTATTCTCTTCTACTTCTTCCTTAGATTTGGTGGCCTATGTTGATGCTGATTGGGTTGGTGATATTAATGATCATAAATCTACTTCTAATTTCTGTATGTTTCTTGGTAATTCCCTGATTTCTTAGAAAAGTAAGAAACAAATTGTTGTTACTCGTTCTACTGCCGAAACTAAGTATCGTGCTATGATTCATGCTACTGCTGAAATTGTCTGACTTCGTGGTCTCTTATCTGACTTGGGTGTGCCTTAGTCTTCCCCGACCTCTCTCTATTGTGACAACCGAAGTGCTATTCAAATTGCTCATAACACTGTCTTCCATGAAGAGACAAAGCACATTGAGATTAATTGTCACTTCGTCCCTCAGCATCTGCAATCTGGTTTTATCTCGCTTCCTTTTGTTTCTGACTTCTTCACCAAGACTTACACCACTGCTCGATTTTGGTTTTTTCTTGACAAACTCTCAGTATTTTCTACTAAAATACATTGAGTTTGAGCGGAGGTGTGAGAATATGCCTATTCAGTGTTTCCTTTTAGGATTAGGACTTAGTATTCTATATCTATTAGAATTCTATATCAGTGATGTATTCATTTAAGATTAGGAATTAGTGTTCTATATAAGTGATGTATTTGTGTATTTTTTGTTCAATTAATTCAATCTAATATACAATTTTATTTAGAAAACTTACAATCCATGGTCTATAATTGCGGAAGCCAGAAATGAAGCATCAGGTTTAGGTATTCGAAAAGTAAATTAATGGTGACTGGGATCAGCTGACAAGAAGCTAAAAAATGAGTTGGAGAAAGAATTTATGACATTAAGTTCATACTTAATTTGCAGAACAAATACTCTCAATATACCAGACTTTTTCTACCAATTATATTTTTTGCCAGAGACAACTCAATTACTACAATGGCCATACATGAACCAAAATTTCCTGTGTTTCGTTTCAATTTTTTAGAAATGAAATTTTTTGTTTTTCGTATTTTTTTTATTTTTAGTGAATATTTTTAAAATTTTATATAATTTTTTATATTTTTTTAGATACACTTTACTTAAATGTACGTAAAAAGTAAAATATTTGTAAAAAATCATTTTAAAAATTCAATAAATATACAAGAATATGAAAATGTATTGTATTATCGTATTTTTTTAGTATTTTTGGTATTTAGTGTTTTTTTTATAGTATTTTTGGTATTTAGTAAATTTTCTATAAAAAAAAATTCACAAATGTTATACTTTTTAAGTATATTTATGTCAAGTGTATCTAATTTATTTTTTAAAAAAATTACTTAGAATATTAAAAAAATTCAGTGAAAAAAGAAAACATGAAAATCAAAAATTTCAATTTTCTGAAGAATGAATCCTAAAAATCCAAACTAAACAAACTAATTGCTTTTTTAGTCATAAAATCAGTCATTATTTACTATATGCTAAATTGTACTTTTTTGTCGCATAGCATTGTGGCATTTAGTGCATAGAGAGCATGATATTTCTATGAGTAAAAGACAGTTCAGTATATGAGACTTATGTTATTATGGAATTAGATAATCTTATCCGGTGAATAAGTGATGCCCAAATTACAATAGAATAACCTTACTATTGTGTCAAGGCCGTCCTCTGCAAGTATATTAGGATCAATTGTCAACATTTGTTTTTTGCTAGCCAAATTTTGAATTAGGCTCAATTTCTAAATTTTGAAGCACTTAATATATATATGTATATAAATCATTTAGGAGTAAGAGTAAAATATTTACAGTAAATTTCTATATTCACTCTTTCTTTTCTCTTCAAAGATGAGCAAAACAAAACATAAGCATAACTAATTCCTATCTACCAAGTACAAAAATATATTTCCTCTCGTTATTTTGAACTTTGTACATCTAATGTCCTATAACTAGGGCTGTGAAAAATACCACCCAACCCGTTAAAACCGCACCGATCCGCATATATCCACACCGCTCTAACCGCTAACCGCGATTTAAACTTTAAAATTTATAATCCGCCAACCGAACTGCTCCGCTTTGCTCCGCTATAGTTAATATATATATATATATATATATTTTTTTATACTTCACTGAAATATCAATGTAAAAAAAAGTGTGGGAGATGTTTAAGATATAAAATTTATTACAAATTAGTAATTATATATATGAAATATATTATGTAAAATTAATTTTTGTTATATATCTAAAAAATATTATACAAATTAGTGTTATATATTATGCAAATGTATGATAATTAGTTAGAATATTATTCAATCCTCCAATCCGTCAAAAATCGTAATTTATCAATCCGCTAATCCGCCAACCCGCCATTTGGTTTGTAATTTTACTCTCAAACCGCTCAAACCGCACCGCGCACATCTCCAATTATAGTATCTAATGGATGGATTGATGCACAAATGAGGCCTCTTATTAATTTTATGACAACATCTGATGGTGGAGCTATGTTTATAAGAGCCTATGAAGCACGAGTGCGGGTACGCTGATACGGCAAAACTCAAAAAAAGAATGATACGGGTACGGTTGCTGTACGCCGATATTTTTTTTAATTATTTATAGCTATGGTTAAAGGATCCAACCTACAAATTAAAATTAAATATCAAAACTAAAAAGAGAATTACAAAACTAAAAGACAAATCATATTTCAATTCAACAATGCCAACACTAAAGCAAAATCCATGAGTTGCTTTAATGCCATTACATAGGAGAATTACAAAATAAACTTTCAGTCCATAATGGAAGCAAAGGAAAAACAAAAGAAAGAAAGCCCTATGTATCTAAACTTGACACTTCAAAGTTCACTTCCATCAACTTCATCATTGAATAAAACAGCTTCCATCTCTGGCTCATCAAGTGAAAGATTTACAATTTCAAGGAAACCAGAACCCTCCAATGAATCAAATGCATCTCCCCTAATGTCCTATAACTTGGTCTCTCCTTCTGTTTATAGTCGAATTTTCCTTGATAAGAGGCGAATATTTGAGTGCACAAAAACCAACTCCTTGCACCGTTGTGGTGTCATTTTATTCCTCCTCATAGAGTGAATGAAACAGTAGGTGCGCCAATTCCTTTCACAACATGATGAGGAACATGGTTGGCCTAGTAATTTCACTGCCAATGATTGGAGCATAGGTGTAGAAGAGTCATGTGCCAACCACCAAACTATTGGTTCCATTACTTCTTTATCACATATTGAGTCAGAGTCTCCAAAACTTTCTAAACAACCTGAAAACTTAGCATATTCTGTATTAACAACCCTTCTCTCATCTGAATCAGGAAAGTATGTAACAACCCGAAAATTTAAGTTGTCCCTTAAATTTTATTTTAGTATTATTTAATTATAAATGAGAAAAAACCCTAAATGTTTAATTAAATATTTCGTAAGAGTAAAATAAAATATTAAATGTTATGGGTATATGAGATAAAGTGTAATTAAATTAGGGATTATATATTATTGGAAAAAAGGGGCATATAAGTAATTCAAGATTTGGGCCAAAATAGAATTAAACCTAAAGTTAAATATGTTAGATAAGTATGAATTAATGGTTTGGGACACGTAGCCTTGTGGCTTGGTGCAAAGAATGACACGTGGCAAGCATGTGGCTTGGTGGCCACGACTATCTCTCTGTAAAGGGGAGGATTTGCTGGGGTGAAGGGAAAAAGAAGGAAAACAAACTAAGAAAAAGGAAGAAAATACTGAAAGTCAAGAAGGTTTTTGATAGTGGAAAGAAAGAGTAAGGTATTAATCCTAAGGTGAGTTATATTATATCTTGAGTCACCATAATATATTTTACGTATGTTTTGAGTTATCATGATTTATTTTACATAAATTATGTTTCATATATTATATTAGCATTTTTAATTATGTTATTTATTTATGAACCTTATTTGATATACTAAGGAAAACCCATGGATATAACTGTTTATTAAAATGTGTTTTGAGTAATTATTTTATAAGTACCACCATGGAGGTCCCATGCCTTGGAAGACTTAAATAACCATTGGTTCTCTGATTAGTCACTTTGTGACTCTCTTTCTGTCATGGATCCACTGACACTCTGATTTCTGGTGTGGAGCAAAGTGTTGTACGGAGTTAAGTATTACACTATTGTGGGAGCCACCTCTAGTGTTCGTACGAGCCACCTCTTGAGTCCATAAATCTGTTACGTTTCGTTCTGTACCATGGTTATAGTTATTTACGTAATTTCTGTATTATATATCAAATGATTTCCGTACTATATAAATTTTGTATTTTAAAATCAAGTTTTGTTTAGCCCCATAATTATCCATGGTGAATTTTATGCCATTTTGCTCTTAGTATAATATTTCTCACTCTGTCATGTGCTTAAAGTTGTTTACCACTTTCAGGTGACATGCTAGGGCTGGCGCGTGGGGTAGGCACAAAACACTTGTTAGACATTGTTCAGCTTTGACAATTTAATTAAATAGAAGCTCCAATGATTATTTTGGTACTCGCACTTAAATATTATTTTCGCTCGCGTTTATTTATTTGTTCAATAAATTGGCCGGAGGTAACTTCAGTTACTGGCCATCACGATACTTAACCCTTGGGTACAGGGAGCGGGTTGTGACAAGTGGTATTAGAGCAATGGTTTATAAAAAAAAAAATAAAAATAAAAAAATAAAATCATCATTGGAGCATAGGACACACGCACATTTAAGAAGTAAGATAGTAGGTAATTAGTACCTAAATATTATATTTTGATAGTTGATTTAATTATATTATAATTTTATATGATTATATATATTAATTTTTTTTTGTGCATAATTTGTGAAGGATATTAGATACAATTTATATTTGTTATAACAAAAGAAGGAAAAAAATAAAGGGTGTCAGGTTCAAGCACCCACCAAAATTATAATATAATTAAATACATATAATTTCCAGTTTAGTATTTCAAAAAAAAAAAATTCGTTTTGACTTTTTACAAGTGGGTTCAAATTTTAAAGATACTAATTTTGAAACTATTTCCTATCAATGGAAGATTCACGGATAAAAGAAATGGAAGTCCATCTCCAATTCCTTCAACTCTTGCATATGATTCTGTTATTTCATTTCTAGTCACTTGTTTAATTGTGTCTCATTTTATTTATTTATTTATTTTCTTTTCAAAAACAAGACCAATGAAAAGTTTTTTTAAGTCACTCATTGTTTCTCATTTTGACCCAACACAGTTTTTGACAAATAAA